AGGGGGCAGGGGAGGGAGGGGGAAAAAAAGCACACAGACATCAACTATTTCACCTTGATGAAAGTCTCAATACGCTATGGAAAGCCTAAGTATTTATTCTTTTACAGTACACGGGGTGCCGGCTGCAAGAAAGGGAAAAAAAAAAAGTATCCACTTCAGGCACAACTTCTTTCTTTTAAACTTAACTCAGTAAAAGAAACCGGGTTGAGAAGCTGCAGTGTCGTAAGCAGCAGCAGATCTGTGCATCGGTTTAAATGTCTCTGAATTACCACACTGATGGCACACCTCAGCCTTAGGAAATTCTGCACTACGCCCGTTTTGGAACGCTACAAGGGTCAGTCCACCCCGGCCGGGGCCGTCGCCGAGCTCCAGCAACGCCACCGGCCGGAGAGCGCAAAGGAAACAGTAAAACACTGAAGGCCTGGCCGTAACTCTGCACAAAGCTGAACTCACTGCGCCTTCCGAGGGTCCTCACGACCCCGGCAGAACAAGCTGAAGTGAGCCTTCCATTTCCACTTGAAAGGAAAGACATTATGCAACTGAGCACTACAGCAGAGCAATTCCTTGGCCAAAATAACAAGGAGAAAAGCACAGGTAAGCGTAGTGCAGAATTCCGTAAGGTCCACCCGCGCAGAGCCGTCTGCCACGTTCACTCACGTAGGCAATGCAGGTTTGCAGTTACCGGTTGCGTTAAATGCACCATTCAAAACAAGCTTCTAAAATGTGATACTATAAGGCGCCACCTTAAAGTTCTCCAGAATGCAACTGTGCATAACTTGAAAATGATTTCATCGATTTATTTTAAACATAAACATGAGAAGGTGTTAAAACCGGTGTAATAGCTTCTTAGAATTTGGAGGAAGGGATGAACAGGGGGATATTCAGTACCCTTCACCAGCCCCACCACGCAGTCGTACGTCAGGTACGGGTTCTGTGCGTCAGTCTATAACACCAGCCTGACGGATCTTTCTCTCTGCACCAAATCCCTGCAAGGAAACAAACCAAACCTTCAGCTCCAGCATCATGCGTTACGGGAAACCCGTCCTGTTCCAGCCAGGGAAAGCACCGCGCTTCCAGTTGGCCGCTCCCACCTCCAGAAGCGGGGACAGCACCACGGCAGGTTGTGCGCGCTGCTCTTCACAGCCCCGGGTACTTCACCGGCTGCCCGCGCCGCGCGCTCTCTCTTACCGCGTGGTGGCAGGTGAAAGCCAAGTTCAGACAAAGGG